TTTGCTGAAGGAATGATTCAGTGAAAATAAAATCCAGTGAATATACCTTTTTTCCTATATTTTACATTGAACTCGTCAAAAATCTGTGAAAATAAATTCCATACAAAACACCCAAAAAGTCTTTTCAGCGAAAATTAATTCCAGCTAAGTATTTTACAGTAATTATTTCCTGCATCCATGCAAAGTCAACTCATCAAATTTTTCACAAAATAAACCAATTATTGTTTTGGGGAATGCTCTCAGAGTACAGCTTAAAAAACTCAATTAGTAGATTAATACTTATCTCATATTCCATAATAAAATTTATTACTGACAAGCCAATTGCAATTAAGGCCAGATTTTATCCCTTGTTTCGCAAACAGGAGCCGAAAATGAAATAAAAATAAAATTTTATTTCAGCGTAATTTTTCGCGCCCGCCGACTTGTAAGTGCAAAAGATTGCTAAAAAAAACTTATTTTTATCTTCAGTTTTTTTCCGACCGCCGCATTACAAACCCAAGTTGCATTTTCGTGGGAGTATTATGATCAAAGTACCGAAGTCTCGCGCAGATGAGAGACAAGGTTATACATGGAATAAAATTTTATTTCATTTCTTCTCTCCGATCAATGATCTCACTTACAATTCTTTGAGAATCACACAGATCTAATGGAAAAAAAGAATTAATTTTCTTTTTTTCCGCCCTCCTCAAAAAATTGCCTTATAAAAACTCGAGAAACAAGGAATAAAAAAAGTCTGGCCTAAAAAAAACAAAGTAACTACTTGGGTAATCTGGTCTGACCAATCAGTTTTCTATAAATGCAAGCTTACAGTAGTTTCACTATGTTTTTTAAAGGGTCATATGCATTCAGAGAAATTAAAGGAAGCACATGCAAGAGCATCTATGAGTATCCACGAACAGAAGTAAGTGTTTTTTTTCCAATAATGTTTGGGGACGCATTTTTATTTTCAAATATCTCAACCTTTTTTCGAATGTTCACCCACTTGCAGTTCTCACATGGCATGTGATTGTTTTACAAATTGTATATATGTTGCATGAGACCCATATCAACATGGTGCGTGAGTGAAGTAATCTTGATATGTTCCTCTGTACAGAAACGCTGACCGATTACAAGACAACGAACTGGATCTGCATGGTTTGCACGTCAAAGAAGCCCTGGAAGTGCTGGAACAGATCATATCACTGAAGGAACGGGAACTGAGAACGGATCCGAGGAGAAGGAGATACACACACCTATCTGTGATTACTGGTAGAGGAGCTCACAGTCGTGGCGGCGTGGCAAGGGTCAAACCGATGGTTATTGATTGGTTAAACAGAAACAATTACAGGTAATTATTTAATTCTATTGTGGTTAATCTTTGTACCAAATATGGCAATTTAATAATTCACTACGTTCAATTACCCACCATAGACTCCGGTCAGTCAAAATGACTATTTTGAACTGTAGGCATTAATCAGCGATTCTGCCGGTGACGGAGAGATAGAATCCAGGTCAGGGGAAGCCCCATGACCTCAAGATTCTTTTACCCCTTACGTCACGAACCCACGTGACCGAGGCCACCTGGCAGCGCCACAGGTAGCCGTCCTTCACTCTTAATTTCTCTCGCTCG